GTTTATAAACGTGTGGATCTACCGACTCGGAGAGACCAGGTAAACCCTTTCGCGGTACTTTTGAGATGCTGCTAGCAAGAGATGCTACTTCTAGCTGCTGTGTTTTGATTTGCGGCTATAATGGTTTGTATAGTGTCAAAGCCACTGGGTAGTTTGTTCTATTACAAATGCAGCTGTTTGCTGTGCAAACGTGTCGCCCGGCTATTTGACGTTAAGTAGCGTTATCAGGATTTATAAATGTCCTACGTGATAAATATAGCGACGCTAAGCTAGCTCGCTAAGTGTTTGAGTCAGACTGGAGGCTGTGCCGTCTGGGCCTCAGGTTGAAAAGGATTATCAGGTCGCAGCTGATAGTAGACTATTATTAACGACGTATTGATACAGGTGTGGCTTAGGTAAAAGTCACTGGGGTTTCTGGGCTCCCTAGCAAGGAAGGGAATACGTTCAAGAGCATCTCCACGGCCATGTTTTGCTGCGATCTGCACAAACGTCTGCACATTATGCAGCATTTTTTAATCTCGATTAAGAGTTTAAACACAACCAGCAGGGTTCAGGTGTGTTTTTTTGCGGCCACTTAATTGGTAGACATGTCATAGTTCCTATGCAGCCGGTTCGTCCTGAGGTCATAGGTGTGTTTGTGCATTAAGGTGTTTGTGTTTTGTTTAATGTCTGTGATTGTGTTGTGTCTTAGGATGGAGTGGCAGCCGGACGAACAGGGTCTGCAGCAGGTGCTTCAGCTCCTGAAGGATTCCCAGTCCCCAGACACGGCAACCCAGAGAGCCGTGCAAGAAGTATCCTTACCTCTCTGACTGTGTCAGACGCGTTTAACCGTGAGAGTGAGAGGAAAAGGTGTGAAACATGTATGAGACATTTCCTCCCCCACCGGACCGAGTTCAGCTTGGACAACAGCCAAAGCGGTTTGTTTTTCCACGTGCACCGAGCTAAAGCGACTGTAGTGTTTGTTGGTCCGTGGTGTGTAGATACTAGCGATGATTAAAGTTAAATGAGGCTGTGTGAATTTTCTGCTCTGTATATGGGTGGTTGGACTCCTTCACAGACACAACAGAAACTGGAGCAGCTCAACCAGTTTCCCGATTTCAACAACTATCTCATTTTTGTCCTGACAAGCCTTAAATCTGAGGGTATGTCTGTCCATCCCAAACACCATAACGCAGGATTCAAATACTGCCTCATAAATATGCTTGATCAAGGCAAGTATATCTGTACCCAACCCTCTTCTTTCTACATTTAAAAAATACTTTATTCTTTTTATCCCAAGACGAGCCCACTCGCTCTCTGAGTGGACTGATTCTGAAGAACAACGTCAAAGCTCACTACCAGAACTTCCCTCCTAACGTGGGTGACTTCATCAAACGAGAATGCCTCAACAACATCGGAGACCCCTCGCCGCTCATCAGAGCTACGATCGGTGGGTGTGTGAGTGAAAGAGGGAAGTTGAGGGAAGAGTAAAAGCTGGTGTGAGTCAGAATGGACTGTAGGTGGTTCAGATTGTGCAGGTAAAAAGTGCTGTGTGGGTGCCAACGCTGTGTCTTGCAGATGTTTACAAATGACGAAGTGCTGAGGTGAATTAAGTTGTTGGAGAATCTTGAGTTCTGTGGCTAATTTGTGTGTTTATTACTCTGTTATGAAGGGATTCTAATCACGACCATAGCCTCTAAAGGAGAGCTACAAACGTGGCCGGAGCTTTTGCCTCAGCTCTGTAATCTGCTCAACTCTGAGGACTATAACACCTGTGAGGTAAGGCCCACATAACCGCCCCACACAATCCAGCAAAATGTTACATAAGAGGTTTTTTTATTTGTCCTCATAACACCCTTTCCCTCTGATCTGTCTCTCTCCTTCAGGGTTCTTTTGGAGCCCTGCAGAAGATCTGTGAGGATTCATCAGAGCTGCTGGACAGCGATGCTCTGAACAGGCCTCTCAACATCATGATCCCCAAATTCCTCCAGTTTTTCAAACACTGCAGCCCCAAGATCAGGTTAATAAAACCCTAAAAGCCTTCAAAATGAAGATCGCCTCCTTCCAATGACCTGTTTTTTTTGGCCTTTTTCTCAGGTCTCACGCTATCGCATGTGTGAACCAGTTTATCATCGGCCGAGCTCAGGCCCTGATGGATAATATCGACACCTTTATCGAGGT